TTAATGATTTGATAATATTGTGATGATCTTCTTTCTCTTATAAATTGCACGACTATAGTTTTTCTTCTTTTGAACTCTTAAAACTGTAAAGTTTCCTAGGATTCTAAAGTGGGTGATGCTTCACACTCTTTAGGCTTCCATTTAAGACCTATTTATAAATTACAGTTTGCTCAGCTCCCTGAACTTGTTGTAATGTGACCACTATTTTTAGATGGAGAAAACTTCTTGTCTCCCACCGTGTTCGACCACTAACTCTAGCGCGTTCAAATGTTTTTAACTTTTCATATAGAAGGATACATAATATAGGGAGTTCATATTATTTAGAAGATCTCTCTCCTATGTGATAGGAATAAGGTTTTAAATGTCGGATGTCGGGTTCATGTCGGATGGCTGAAATCCATATCGGATAGCGGAAATCGGGGATATATCGGGGGACTTGGACTAAATATCGGATTGTCATATCGGGTGGTGCGCATATGTATAATATCATGTTTTAAATGTAATCTAAGCATTCCTAAATTCAATATAAGCATATTTTATAAATTCTATAGACTAGACATATTAAAAAGTAAATAATATTATGATGTTTAGGATCACTAACCGATTGTAGAAATTTGATTCTCGATTGCATCTTGAAAGCATTTGGGTGCTTGACCTACAAAATAAAAAAACATTGTTAGTAAACATAGAATACTAGCATATAAAGAATAAAGCAAGTAACATATAAGATATAACATATAGAATGAAGATCACAACTTACAAGATTCAGATCAAACATAAGCAAATCAAAACAAACAAATAAGTTTTTAAAGCTACAAATAGTTTATAATTGTTTAACATTCAAGAGCAAATCCATAATAACATAAAAGCTAAGATAACTAGAAAGTCCAGAATCAATCTTCATCATGATCAAAAGTAAGATTATCATCCTCATCTGAATCCGTGAATAACACATCCATCTCTTCTTCCTCGTCATCTTCCAGCGGCTCTTTTCCTTTCAATGAAGACGATCCCGACTTCTTCTTTCTTTTATACATTTGTAACCTTCCACTCTTTCTCTTCCTTGGATTAGCTCCCGAAATATCTCCAACTTGCCTAAAAGTTAAGCACTCTCCCAAAAATACTTCATCATCACTATTATTTACCTCCTCACCCAACAACCATTCGGTGACCATTTCCTCATCATCCTAGGTGGTTAAAGGATCTCTATCTATAACGGTTGTTCTTCAACTTTGCATTAAACTTGACAAAGACTAAGTCATGAAGTTTTTTATGAGTTAGTCTATTCCTCTACTTCATATGAATCTACAAAAGAAAATCATGAATTAGCATAAAAAACTAAGCATAAAATACTACAATACAAGTCTACAAGATGATTAAAATTTAAAAAATAATATTACCATCTCAAATGTACTCCAATTTCTTTCACAAGCTGATGAGCTAGCTGTCAAGCCCAAAATCTTCATTGTTATATTCCTTAACTCGGGAGTACCGTTTCCATAAAGCCTCCACCAAGTAACTAGTCAATTCATAATTAAAAAAATTTAGTAACTTATAAATTCAAAAAAAGGTCAATGAATTAATTTCAATGAGAACATAAATTTACCCGGACAATCACCCTTAGTAGCACTTCGCCTCGCAAATTGATCCCCAAATGACCCTAGGCGTTCTTGATAATTAGGTTTTTTTATCTCCAATCTTTGTGAAAGTCGCATGGTCATCGGGATAGAGTCTATGCATACACTCCACTATGGCTTTCATGAAGCTTCCGTCACTTTCAATGTCCGTGTAAGCCGGGTAATAGTAAAAAAAATTCAAAAAGTAACCCGCTTTATGTAGCGTTTCACAAAGATTCTTCTTAAATCTCAGCTCAATCATTTTCAATATGGGATTGTACTTCTCATCATCCCCAAGGGCCACTTTCAACTCCTCCATAGCTACCAACATGTCCCCATATATACATCCCATCGAACCGATTTTATCACCATCCGCTCTTTGAAGAACCTTCACTAGAGGAGTGAATACTTTGAGAGCAAAGTCTATATTATCCCAAAACTTGTTGCTAGCAATTATCTTCGCAACCTACAAACATACAAATAAATCCAATCAATGAAATATAAATGATCAAATGAATAAAATGAATACAATTAAAAAATTTAATTTAAAATATATCTTTTTGCCCACTAATGTTCTTGAAAGGCTATAATATGTCCATTGGTCAGAAATAAATATTTGCCTCATCTCTTTCTTATGATCTCTTAATGACTGTAGAGAAAGGAACGCCGTAGTAAACCTCGTAACTCCCGGTCTCACAAGATCACCCTTAGTGAACTCCCTAAATAATTGAAGAGGCTTGGTGTGATTATATAAGAACACTGATACACTCCTCCCCATTAAAATGGCATTACGAATGTGTTTTATTTTAGCTATATCGGACAACATCAAGTTCACTGTGTGTGCAACACAAGTCGTCCAAAATATATTTGGCATCTTCTCGACCAACAACTTAGAAACCGTCATATTGTTTGAAGCTCCATCAGTGACTATCTGTACCACATTTGCCTCTCCTATCTGATCAATAACATTGTCTACAAAGGCACATATATACTGAGCATCATGCTTATCGGTCGATGCATCATGTGAAGACAAAAAACAAGCACTCCCAGCAGAATGTACAATTATGCTCATGATGCTTCTAGACTTCCGATCACTCCATGCATCGGTCATTATCGAGCAACTATTGCCAACAAAAAGTCCTTTTAAAGTTTTCAACAATTCTTTTGTCTCATCAACTTCTTTTTGCAAATATGTCTCACTCAGTTCATACATGGATGGAGCTTGCAAATGACTTCCAAACAAGCTAATAGCTTGTAGCATTTGATGAAAAGAAGGAAACGTGACGGTATAAAATGGAATGCCGGCTTCATAGAACCATTTGGAGATGTATCACAATACATCCTCCATTTTCTTCTTTTAAGCTTGACGTCCATCGTTGGTTGTTTCTCCTTTGCTACTATTTGGGCAATCTCCTCGGGAGAACGAGCGGCGAAGGAGTCCATTGGTCCAATTACCTTGTGGGAGGATTACAAGCTTCTTTGACTACTCAATGAGATGGAGTTATGCTCCTCCTCATCCTCCCCAATATACACCTCACTCAACAAGTTATGCATTTTCATCTCCTTCTCAACCTTAGTCTTCTTTGCATTATCTAAAATTTCAGAAACTTTCGCCTTAACATCATCAGGTACTTTCACACACGACGCACAATTTCCCCTCTTTCCGACTAGATGTTGTTTGAATCGGCTAATCCCGTCATTGAGAATTTGAGTGTAATATTTGCATTTAACTTTATTTGTATTGGAACCAACTCTCCCCATATAGCCAACGTGAATCTTTACCGTCCGTTTTTTGTGTTGTTGATGATCTAGTAGATCATTGCCCTTCGGATGACATGATTCTACAATAAGTAACAAGACAACAAATATGAAGTTAGACTACCAATTATATTTACATATTTAAATTGACAAATTACATAACTATGCATTATTCAAAGCTTATTAAAATAACAAATTAAATAATTTTAATTTAATTTCAGCTAACTTGGTACGAATTCAATAGAGGCAGCTGACAATATGGAGTCTTAACTGTAAGTATCTCCTATGCATTAGCATTTGAATTTGTTACATTTTAATTTTATAATTCAATTACTAACTTAAAATTAATTTTATTAACAGGGAAAAGATTCAAGAGGGAGGCTTACTTGATTTTGAGAAACACTTCCTTTTACTTAGCAGTCAACGACTCAACAGCACAAACTGAAAGCCTGAAAAAAAATGCAAACAGAAAAAAGTCATTAGCGAGAGAGAGAAGTCAGGGAGGCTTACGTGATTTTGAGAAATAATCCCTTTTACTTAGTAGTCAATAGCACAAACTAAACTCTGAAAAAATGCAAATAGAAAAAAGGTCATTAAAGAGAGAGAGAAGTCGGGGAGACTTACATGACGGCTGAAGCTGAGGACCTTCGGCTTCCGATGGCGCAGGGAAGAAAGAGAGGAGAAGGCGACGTCGGAGATGGATGGACTTCGATGTCGCAGGGAGGAAAGAGAGGAGAATCTAGCAATGTGAGGACAACGAAAGCAAGACGACGAAGATGAGGAGGCTGATGGGTTCCCAGTCGTGAGCCCTAGGGTTTTTTATTTTTTCTTTTGATCGGGTGTGTTTATGTCTATCGGGTTCGAAATGAGAACTTTAACCTCAGAACGAACAAGTCAAACAGGTTAGAAAAGAAAACCCAAACCCAATAAGTGAAAAGAGCTTTGAACCGATAAAAGAGCATATTGACCGATTTTTCAAAGCTGAAAAATCGGCCGATATGTCCGATTTTCACCTATATATTCGATTTCCCCCTGAAAAATGACATGCGACTTAAAATTCTCCGACTCGTGTCACTAGGGCCCCCAATCCGATATGTCGGCCGACATTTAAAACAGTGGATAGAAATATTACAATAGACTCGGAAAGGTATTGATCCTGTTAGAAGTAGGATTTCCTCCTGAATCATATGGTTTGCTCTTTAGAAGCTGGAATGTCTAAATCCATGGTATCAAACCCATATGAACTGCGTTTCAGCAACTGCCATTTATGGAACTTCTGCTGATTAGTGATAAAACTATTTATATCACGATTCCCATGTTGACATCCATTCCCTCTCATGGTGACTAAGGTGATGCAAATTAGTCTTTAGTCTTGACATCCATTCCCTCTCATGGTGTCTAAGGTGATGCAAATTAGTCTTTAGTCTTCATTCTACTAGCAACCTTCCTGTTCAATATTACTTTGTAGTGAATGCTTTACTGGTGTTTATTGCATGCATCTTAGGTTCTTAACTGGTATTTCTTGTCAGGAGGGTTTCTGCTCATCTCATATTAATGGGTAACTGATGGCAGATGTTTTTTATGTTTCTTTCTCTCAAATTTCTGATTGCATCTGATCCATAAGTTTGTGCATCTTTAGGTCGAACTCTTATAATCGTATAATCTAATATTTCTTTAAATATTTTACTGCATCTTGACAGGCACAACTCGGTATTATTCATTTGCTTCATGTTTCTTAATTTGGCCATTCCTGTTTGAGGTTTCGCCTCATCATCCTGACCTTTCTCCATTAAGATGGTGATGGAAAACATGATGAAGCCTTTGAATGGTGAACCAGGAGTGTTGTTGTCCTCCTGTGCACTCTAACTTCATCCATTTAGATTGGAGGCACTGACAAAGAAGTTATTTCATTATTTTCCTTTTGATTAAACTACATCTTGTTCTTTTTTCTATGATGAGTTCCTGTACTACTAAAATCACTTGAGCAATTCCATAGTGTCTCATAAGAATCTGTTAGTAACCAAGAGATCTCTTACAGCAAGTTCCTGAAGAGTTTGAGAGAGTCATGGTCGGAGTGCAATCTTATTTAAGTATCCGAAGCCATTCTCCGGAGATGGGCTCCAAAGTCTTTGAGTTAGAGGAAGATGAGGCTCTTGAAAGAAAGGTACTGACTTGTTATTCGTGTGTACTTGATATGCTTTCTCGCTTTGATTTGATTCATGTCATGTGTAGATGTTGAGTTTCATTGTATCGTTTTCGTTCTTATGTTTTTTTTTTAAATTTACTGTATGGCTTACAACTAGTTCCTTATTTGTGCCTACGCTTTCAAAATTGACTACAAGCAGTGGTTATACTCTAGGTGAACATCAGTCAATTTGCTATAGCTTTTCTTTGTGGACCAAAACTGGAATGGAAATACTACAGACCTGAACTGCACTGAATTAAATGAGCTCTAGAACTGAAATAAGACGAAACCGAAATTTTCATTTGGTGGTTCGCTTTGGGTTGAAAATCCGACGGAATTTTGATCCTATAATTGACTGAGTCCAAGAGAACTATATGTACAGCTAAAAGCTCGAGAAAATTCTCATTCGGGTATGAGGCCTCCTAAATTACACCAAAATTCTTGTTTAGATTTGTTTAGATTGAAGGTTCAATTGGAATTTTTATCCTATAATCAGCTGAGTTCAATTTGACTATAATATACTTACTGCTAAAGGTTCTAGGAAATTCTCATTCAGGTATAAGTCCTACTAACCCACATGAAGTAATGCCCCAAAAAAAAAAAAATCTAAGAACATTAGGTTCTCAGAGTCATGACCTACTATCATAAAAGAAAACAGTAAACACCAAAAATAAAAATTCGTTTTTGCTAAAACTATAATTCTAAAAGCTACAGTCATCTGTATGATTTGGAAAACAACTTTGTTCTTTGAGATTCAAAACTCTAAAACTCGGACGAGAAGTAGAAAGAAAGAGAGTCACTAGCCAAGAGGTTCACTCTAAAACCTGACGCATGGACACCCTGTGCTATCATCATAGTTGCATATCCAAAGTTTCTACAGAAGATTAGAGTTGAAAATTACATTGAAGGTCTTATAGACTAATCCATATGCACAGAATGTTTGTTTTTGAAAAGTCATATACAACAGGAAAATGGCATGATGGATTATCTAAATCATTCCAAATGATCTTAATGAGTTATACACTTAGGGACTATCAATTAAGATTTTGAAGTAACCTTCTATGTATGGATCCTTCAGTTATTTGTATAAACTTGAATTTGGGTAATATTGTGACAAGCCTTTAAAGTTTAAACCCTTTTAAATAAGATTAAGGCTATAAATCATATTGAAAACCTAATGCTTCAAAGAAGAACTCATGTACTGCTTATGCTAATCGTGAGTTCACATAAGGTGATTTTGGTATTGCTTTTTTTGCTTATGATAACTCCTATTGAAGACTTACTCAAACTAGCTTTTTTAGATTTAAAAAAAAATAGATGAGATGTTTGTTAATTTTTAAATTTTAAGTGGTTATGAAAATCAATCTAAAATAGATTACTAGGGGAAATTTGAATAAGAACGGATGTACGAGGAAGAAAGCTTAGATAGGGTCCTGGGGAGAAAATTAGAAACGTAAGTTCGATCAAATAAATATTCATAGTATTTGCAGGACGAAAAATTGGAGGGAGGTAAAAGAGTGATCTGATGAGAGGACTTTGGCTTCTGTGGTTTAGATAAGTCAACTGACCTGGCATGACTTTTTGACGTGTTCTTCTCTTAAATTCCTTTTCCAAATTGCTTACTGAACATATAAATTCGTCACAAATTATTATTATTTTTGCATAAAGAAGTGAAATAATTATCATTGGCAACATCTGATACACCTATTAATTGGCATGGTGGGTCTGTCAGTTGGAGGATCCAAATGATTCTTGATGATTTATTCATTTTAAAACATTAAGATTTTAGGTGATCTTTTGTGCCCTTGTCATGTCATTAGATTATTTGTAAGCGTTAATATGGGGATTCTTTAGCCATTTTATGTATTGATCAAAGCCTTGGAAATTTAAATTATGATTTTTCACTATATAACATAGGTCTAAAGTAAGTAGCTCTAACGGATTCTTTTTTGGTCACGCAAGACCAGCTGAAAAAGGCAATGGTCATAGTCCATTTGCTTACCACAGCGAATATCAGCTCTCTTTTTTTGCAAATCTGTCTTCTAGATCTGCATAAGAGAGAAAATATTGTCATGGATGGAATTCTTCGTGGTGATTGAGCAACACTTAGGAACCAGGTTGCAATTACCTTGTCTCAAATTTATGGTTAAGAATTTTGCGAATCAAAATTTGGTGCTTGGAGATATGGTGGATTCAGTTTACGTTTATTTTTAAGGTTGTGGTATCTTAACACTAAGAAGCAAATGGTGAAATGATTTCGGAAAAGAAGGTGGGGGTTTTGCACATATTGGAACAGTGCGAATGAAAAACTATTCTTATGGTTATAGGGTACAAGTATCTCCAATGAACTAATAGGCCCCATAAGAAATGATACTTGTGTTATTGCTTAGTAGTTAGTCAAGAGTCAAAAGCCTAACCTTGCTGCAAGTTATAAGGAGGGATATGAAATAGATATCTTTGGCATTGTAAGAATGTGAAGAACAAAGCTTAATAGACATGGAACTTGGTTGGATTTGTATACTTGATTTTTTGGAATGATTTGTTCTATATTTTATGATGTTATTCTTAGCAACTTTTTCTTTGTTCATGTTGTTCGTAAACAGTTCTTATCATGCTCATTGTCTCTTTGGCATATTAACTATTATTTTTTGGGGTTATATTCTACTGAATAACTTGAAAGAATATTTGGAATTGCTTACAAGGCAGCATGAAAACATTTGTTCTATATTCCTTGTTCATCAAGGTAGTTTTTAAAATTTTATTTGATCTGTCACTTAGTAATATCTTTCTATGTTACACCAGGATTTTCTAGAAGATCTATGGGACCGCATACAGGTCCTTTCTAGTAATGGCTGGAAAGCTGAAAGTGGTATGCATCTCTGAGTTTTCAATTCCATGCAATTATTTGTCCATATGTTTTCATGTGTAGCTAGCTATCTATTTTCTTATGCTGAACTAGACTATCTGTCTTACATTTATTTATATTTTGTTTGTGAGTTTCAATGCCGAGCCCATAAATTTGGGAGAGAGGTTTTTGTGGTAAGCTTTAATACTGGAGTTGAACATCCCCATTTGTTTTGGGGTGGTAACAATTTTCTCTTTTTATTAAAGTTGAGACGATATTTATACTATCATTATAATAGTTTGTTCATTAGATTTTATTATGTCACTCATTTTTCAAGATGCTATCTGGAGCTCAAAGACTGAAGTTGTATGCATCTAGAAAGCTAATGAGCTTGAAGAAAAACTCGTGGTTCTTTTTTGTCTGCAGCCTTGTTGTTGTGTAATGTATAGGTGTTTCGGAGGCAGTGCTTCGGTCGATGAGGTGTTAAACCCCACCTAACCCGTTGTAGCATTCACTAGTACTGTGCTTCATTGGATTGGGAAGTAATGTTATACTTCTACCCTATGTGGCCGAAAAAACCAGTGAGAAGGCTAAGAAACCCAGTTATAATTCCTTAGTTGTTATTAGCCATCTCTGTGCATGACTGGAAGGTATATGAGATCCGCCAGTGACCCCTTAGAAAGCATATGAGAAAAAATGAGCCGAATAAACTGGTTGAAGAGCTGAAATATGATTACTGCAATCATGGATTATAATATGAATAACAAGCATGCAAACCTGTTTACTACTAGTCTGTTCTTTTACAGGGATGTAGGACCATGAGGAGCTAACTAGAAGCTTGGGTTTTACATTTACAGTGTTATGATGTTGACATAAGTTTTGTGCATGGTGTTCTTTTTCTATTGCTTGCATCCTCATGATGAATCTTGAGCTACAAGCAACTTGCATTGTTTCCAACATATTTTGTTGGTCTTGAATTCATCGAGCTTATTAATTATTATAAATTGCTGACATTCTGGGCGTATTCAACGTCATGTGAAAGTAGTAACAAATGTGGAATGAAGTTTTGTAGGCAACACTATTTTGTGAAATTATGATATAGTCTGATATTTACCATTGTCTTGTTATTTCATAGCCTTTCCTATTCAATTGGCAATGTAAATTATGTAATGTCAATAAATTATCTCTTTAATGATCTTTCCGCAGATCAAAATTTTCAGAAACCTTTTTTCTTAATTTCCTTTGCACAAGTTCTGCACACGCAATAGTAACATCCATGCACTATTTTATACGTCAATTTTCAGAAAGTATTTTGTTTCAATTTGGTTGCATTTTAAAATTTTCAAGATAAGACTAAAGCAATAATATCTTCTTTATTGCTTGCAAATTTACATAGTGAGCCTTTTGGTTGGTGTGTTAGTGAATTAGAACTGAAAAGTAGAAATGTGATAATTTGCGATACAATTTTACTGTGTGGGTCAATTAGAATTGGGTATAATTTTAAAATGTTAATCAAATAGGACAATGCCAAATCTAGAACTAGGAAAATTTAGAATAATTACTAATTACCATACCTATATAAATGAGCATGAGTTTTAGTCCCTGAAATTTTCCTACGTAGTAGTTGAGAACAGATAGGAAAATATAGAATCGCTTCTCTGACTATTTTATTTTTCATCTTCCATTTCTCTTCTCCGTCTTCCTCTGGCAACCACCATTGTCATTGATTAGGATGTCTCCCCATTTTTAGATATCCATTTATCTCGTTTACTTTTATCTTATCTTTTTACTGAATATTAGACTTGTATAAAATGACTCAGAGATCCTTAATCAATTGGAAGGATACAGGTAGCTGCTGATGCCGTTGCGGTGGTGAGACGATGCAGGAGCTGAGGGAAGGTGGGTTTTGGAGGGTGGCATGGTTCGAATGGGTTTTCAGCAAAGGGTGGGTCAATTCAGGTTCATGCGTACAAGTAGGAACGCTGTTTTTTGAGGGGGGGGGGGGGGGGGGGGGGGGGGGGGGGGAGGGTGTTGGGGAAGGAGGTGCAAGGCTAAATTAATTTGGAAATCAAAATTTAGGAAAAAATAAAAATAATGCAGACCTGCCAAATGTTTTGTATAATTTTTTCGATTTAATAATGTACTTATTATGTAGCGTATTTAGTCTGTCAAATCAAAGTTGTAAGATTTTTGCATTTTTATTTTGTATGCTATACTGAGAGTCCATACGTGAATTTGTTATTAGTTTTTGTCTTTTGCTTATCAAGTAGCAGATTGTTAAGTATGTAATTTATCTTGTGCCAAAAAGTATTTGAATACAAGTCTGTAAATATTTGTATGATATTTGTGTCTTTATTCAAAAACTTTAGTTATTTGTGCTATTTCGTATAATTGAATATTATTTGTAATGAGTAAGATTTTTGTTGTATTACTTTATATTTCATAATTATTGTCAAACTAATTCATTTGATATGATTTTTATGATAATATTATTAGCAATATTGTTATAACCTTGCTAGTATTTACTCTTTGTAAAGATCTATTGTATATTTTAAATATTTATTAGTTAATAGTAGTAGGAAATAGTTTTTGGTATAATAGTAAAATACATACATCACATACTTGTTGACTATTCCAGATTATATCTCACGTCATTTTACCAAATATTCTACCTCCAAAAATTATCCACTATTATTGCAATAAACTGTCCCACTTCAACAATTATCCCAGTTCTAGTTGAAAAATTCTGAATCTTCTGATTGACTAACACCTCCTTCAAATATTCCCTTTTCCAAGTTAAATGCTTAGTTTTCACAAGAAGAAAAGTCGCTGTAATGAACTGTATATTCCATGTCTATGTCCTTGTGAAGTTTTAATAACCTATACATTCAAGTAAAAGTAAATTTCTAAAACTCTCAACTCCCAGCTAGTTTTACATGTTATCTAATATCATGATGTTTGCTTTTGTTTCTTTATTTTTCCGCTCAATATTGGTTCCCGTTGTTCTTTGGTTTAATTTCCTCATGTATAGCTCTTGCAATGTTTTAGAAATAACCAGTCGTCTCTCTTTTTATCTGTTGTGTTCTCTTTTTAATGTGTTTGTGTGTGATAATATGATGTAAGTTCCTTTATTTAGTAGCTCCGCTGTTGATACAATATTATGTTTTTGTCTTGAAAACAATATTTTGAACTGTTGAATTCTCTATACCCTTTGTCATTATGTACATCTCTGTTTTTTTTTGGTGTTAAACCCAAGTATGCTATATGTTGTTTTAGTTCCAAGACCACACTTGTCATTTGAGTCGCAGTTGGTGGCTGGATCATCTCATGGTCTTTCTCCTATTAGCTGTCCGGAGTTACCTGCTATCTCGTCATCACGTTCTGCAATTGCTTTTGAAAAAGAAAAGTATGAAGCTATGTTGAAGTACCCACAAAGGCTTCATAGGCTCAACATATTTCCTTCCAGTAAAGCTGAGGTATATTTTTCTATATATTGAAGTTAAACAAGTAAAATCTTTTTCTTGTACATCTATTACAGAGTGTACTTATTTGCTTATTTTATCTTTATTAATTATTCATTCTCTTAATAAATATAACAAAGAGGGTATGCTATGAGCAAACATGAGATTCCCTTTTTTGACCACTGCTTTTCATCTTCGCTCTGTGGTTTTCCTTGATCACCTTACTAGTCTATTTCCCAATTATCAGGTCAAGAACCATCTCTTTATGGATATTGTTTTACATATAGTTGAGTACAGTTTCATGCACTCCAATTCTTTAACCACATACATTGCATGCATATCGAGGCATTATATGAAATAGCTTTACGTTTCTTCCCATTTATGCTAGTAAATATCTAGGCATCACCCATTGTTTTTAAAGGCGCTCTCGAGCGCTCGCCTCGGGCGCAAGGCGCTACGGCACGGTGGCGTAGCGCCCTGCATAAGGTGTGGGCGCTACGCTTACACCAAGCGTGCGCCCCAGAGCGCCCCGTAGCGCTTTGTGCCTTGGGCCGGTCGATCACCTCAGGCTTCATCAGCGATTGGGTTTGGTTGAATTAGTAAAAACGGGTTATCGGGTACAAACCCGACTCTAGCTTAAACCCAAAACAATTCTAACCTAACCCACAACAAAGAATTAGAGCTTCATTTACTTCGTTCCCTCTCCCTTTCTCTTCATGTTCGGTGTTCTCCCTATGGCTGCGGGCGGAAAACGACGAGCAAAAAACGGCGAGCAGTGATCGAAAATTGGAACTGATGTATTTTCTTCTTCTCTTTCTTTCATTTGTTTTTGTTTGCCTTTTTTTGCTTTTCCTTCTCTGCTTGGTTTTTCCCTTTTTATATTGAATTTGATCTGATACAACCTCAGTTCTCTATGCTTGCTGCTACTGCTCTCGTTCCTTTTTTTTCTTCTTCTCACGTGAACTATTAACTATTAAGATACTATTGGGTGTTTAATTATAAAGCAATGTTTTTGAATGTTCGACTGTTAATGATTTGAGGTAGCAAGCCAGTAAACTGATTTTTAATTAATAATAGGCAATTATTAAAGTTTGGTTTGTGGACTACTTTGAATTAATAATAGGCTAATGATTAAAGTTTGTTTAGACTTTGTGTTGAATCGGTTGACTGAAGAGGAGGATACAAGGTTTTAAATATCGGTTATCGGGGATTTATCGGACGGCCAAAATCCTTATCGGATAGCGAAAATTAGGGATATATCGGGGATAAGTAGTATTTATCGGAGTGATATACTGGATGATGTGTATATATAATATAACAATTAAAAAATATAATCTAATCATGCTTAATGAAATATAAACATACCAAAATATAAATCATCATGTTTAGAATCATTAACCAATTGTAGAAAGCGAAACTTACATCATAGCCTTGAAAAAAATATAATGTTAGTTAAAATGAGCCGATAATCCCGATAAAAAAGTCTTACTTATCGGCCGATAAGTGCCGATAACGCCGATAAATCGCCGATAAACCTAGAAAAACGATAACCGATTAAAAATCCAAATTATCCTAGCGGAGAGCTCCCAAATCCGATATCTTGACCGATAATATCGATTATCGGCCGATATTTAAAACAGTGGGAGGATATTCTCTTTGAAGGGGATGATGATGATGTTAATGAGGATGATTAGAGTCATTACGCTATTATTTTGCCACTTATTTGCTTTGTTTTGATGGACAACTTGATTTGCTTCAATGATTAAAACTTTATCTTGTGATTTGGTAGTATATATTTTATTTATCTTGAGTCCTTAATATTTTCTATGTGAAATTTTACAAATATATATATTTTTTCATTCATTTTGTATATATTAAAAAATTTTGTGGTCTGGAGACTGGAGTGCACCTCGCTTAGCTCGGGCGCGCACATCGCATTACGCCTCGCGCATGTGCATGTAAACCGACTTTGCGCCTCGCGCATTGAAAACACTGACATCACCTTAGATTGGTTTTTGTTTGCTCTCTAATTCTGGTGTCTCAAAAAGCAATTTCAGTTCTTGAGGTACAATCTTCAACTGATCATGATGCGGACCGGAGTGCGTGCTCCGGTCCAAAAGTAGAAGGCTCGTGAATGTGTTTCCTTCAATACCAATCTGGATTTAGTTGGAAAATTCGAGGTTCTGAATATTGCGAATATTGGCAGGTACCCGAGTCTGATCGGGATCTAAAAGTAGGGAGTGAGTAGATTTTTAAATCTTTGATGACTTTTCAGAGCCGTATTCGTATATGATGGGGGAGCTAATTGAACCTCGAATGTCGTCGTAAGGCCTTGGTGGGGAGAGATTATAACTCATCAAGGGTCGATTGAGATGTGACAATGGTGGTACTCGATTCGATCAGATAGCTCATCAGGGCTCGTCGAAGCTTGGGCATGGCTTGATCTAGTCAGCTTAGAGGCGCGAGGGGTTGATATCAAGAAGAGGGTTGATGAATAGTAACAAAATTAATGCTCACATAGGTGGTACACATGTTATTGTTCATCCATTAACAATATCCTTTTTTTATTTATCTTGATTTTTTGGTGGGATCTTTTTAAGGATTAGGGTTTCGAGAGAATGTCGGAGTAAAAAGTTGAGAATGGAAATGAGATTTGATCTTAGGGGTAAGCTCTAAAATGGAGAATTAGACCATAACTGGGCTTCACACCTAGGGGTTTCAGACCCAAGGGCTTCACATCCTAAGAGGCAATTCACATGCCAAAGAACACTTCACTGGCTCAAGAGAGAATTCTCATAACTGAAATATTTATCAATCAATGATTCAATGGCCTGCCTTCTCAATGAGGCTTAGATCTTTATTTAAAGAAAACAAAAGATAACTCTTGAGGGAGCAAGATAAAATCAAATCTCAGATATCCTAACATTTAATCTTAAGGAAACAAAATAAAATCTCTAATAAAATAAAATCTAAAAGATCTTGAAGATCCTAACATCATATCCTAAGAAAATCCTACCAAACATAAAGATTGCATAAAAGTTTTCCAAAACAAAAAAGATCTTAATAAATCCTAATAGCCTAAGATCAATGATCCACAAACGTCCCACATCAGCTCAACATAGGAACTTAATAAATCCTGATAGCCTAAGATCAACGATCCTAAGCGTCCTGCATCAGCTCAATATAAGAATTATGCTGTCAGTTGTCACACATTTAATAAAGTACCAAAATAATTTTGCACGTAGTTGAGCATCTATACTCTTGTATAATTTAAACACATTCAACATGTGGTTTTAGTAAATTTCTTTGATTGGGAAAGCACATACATGCACATATATAAAATGTTATCGATCATATAAGCACACTTATACACATGAATGGAGGTTCCAGTATAACTGTCAACTCATATATCATTTCCACCATATGGTTGAATTTTTCAGCTTGTACGGGATGAAATGGTACAATCACACATGTTCTTAGCTCATACACTATGCCCAATAAGTGATCTTTTTTCTTCTAAACAGTTCTGCGCAAGGTTTTAAATATCGGATGTCGGGTTCATGTCGCTCGGCCAAAATTCATGTCGGATAGCGGAAATCGGGGATATATCGGGGGGCATGAAAAAAATATCGGATTGCCATATCGGATAGGTTGATATAATATCATAAATGGAATCTTCACATACTTGATAATTATATTGTCTAAACATATGAAAAAGTACATATGAGAAGGTCTTCATTTTCACAAGCAACCATCAAGTTTTTGCTTTTGCATAGAAAACCAAATAGACATTAAAACAGCTTAACTGTATATGTTTAGACAATTCTTATTAAAGTATAATAATTATCCAGAATATAAAAATTACTAATACAATTCTTTATACACAACTTTATTTATTAATGTAAAGATTTATTAATTGTTCAATTTAAGAATTTATGTTATTATAAAAGTCACTTCATAATTTTACACTCAAAGAAAAAGATTACAAAAAAAATGTTCACATACAAAGCGCGTGCATTATACTAGTAGGAACAAAAAGAAAATTCTACTGAAATTGAAAATTAAACTCGTAATTGCTATTCTAAACTACTTAACTGCATCGACTAACAATTGCAGGATTTTTATTATATATCTCATTTCTCCAAACAAGAAACTAGTAAAACCGAAGTATATGTGCACCTAATACAAATAAATTCATGTGTTCTTATAGCCTTCCATTATAAAGAAAACACATGCAATAACAAGTAATTAAAACCTACAACAAGCACCCATATGGGTAGTGGATGAGAAACAATGTGAAACTTTACATAAATAGAAGGTGAAAGATATTGCAAATCATATGATTTCAACATGTCAATGTGAAACCGATATTTTTGAATTTTGGCCGATATTTGATGGTCGAAATGTCGCCCGATATATCCGCTATTTTCCGACATGTCCCCGACATGACCTCAAAAACGCCATACACATTAAATTCAACAATTTCGTGGCGGCTAGGCTCCGAATCCGCAATATCGGCCGTCATGTTTGACATGGCGGCCGATATTTAAAACACTGGTTCTGCGTGTTTCAGAACTGCAACATAGAACTTTACAGTGTTGCTGGTACTTCTCTTTTCGGACATGACGGTCGATATTTAAAACACTGGTTCTGCGTGTTTCAGAACTGCAACATAGAACTTTACAGTGTTGCTGGTACTTCTCTTTTCATTTGAATGCACTGTCTAGCAGAATTAAGACTCTTTCATGAGACAATTTTCACAAAGTTTGCATTCCGTCCTCTATATATGATTTCGCATGTATAAACTGGAATATTGGATGTAAGTGTATCATCTGCAACTGCTTGGTCTAGATTCTAATTGTGTAATTGAAGAAGCATCTTTGCGGTTTTTTTGGTTATAACTTTTGTTGTCTTCTATAAGAGCTGCTTTATTCGGCCCTTTCTTCACTCACGTTTTCATTATTTTTCATTATTAATATTTAATACCATCAGAAGTGAGTGCTAATTACAATAATTATGGTGTGCCATTTTCATATTCTTTGTATTTCATGTATTGCTTAGTTAATAAAGTATTGTTTTATTTCTTGGTGCGCCTTCTATTGTTTAGTGTCTATTGTAGTTGACATATCTTCTGTTCATACATTACCATAATTAACCTAGTATAGGGCATAACTCTCAACGCAACTGAACAGAAGAGTAGGATTTATGTATCTGGCCCAAGAAATTTGGGCTATAAGCTCTATTGTTGTTGTACGTTACCGTAACTAACCCGGCATTTTTTCCATTTGCTATAAATATAATGGCTCGTGGTATATTTCAGATCATGCAGCCTATTGATCGCTTTGTTGTAGAGGAATATTTACTGGACGTGTTACTTTTTTTTAATGGGAGGTTAGTAACTCTCACTTCTACGTTCGCACATCATTATTTTTCTCATGGTACTAAAGTATAGTGTTCTATTGAGAAATAATGGAAAATATATTACCTTGGCAAATCACTTCACTTGTTCAGATTAGGGGTGTAAATGGCTACTCAAAATACCCGAATCTGCTTTCTTTAAGTATTAAGTAATTGCTAATTAGTAAATATTAGTATCTGCGCCTTTTACTTGTTGCTCCATTTTCTATCTGCTTACACTAGGTGCATATAACATATAATTAATAAACAACATTTTATATATCATCATTGACATAGTCTTTTATGAATTTGACATTGTAAGTATCAATGAGCTTTGATATGGACTTTATTTGAGCCAAAGACACAGTTTTAAAGGAAAGCCATGACCAGGTGAAAAAAAAAATCCCCGAGCGGATGGACCTTGACTTGGTTGGAAATTAGTTTGGATCTTGCAGGACTTTATTCCACTTTCAGAAGGTGTTTTCAAAGGTTAAGAAAGGGTCAAGCATGTTGAATAGGGTGAAGAAGAGGCGAAGTTGGTTAAGGAGGTTAGGGAAGAGTATAACAAGGCACATAAGACACTAGGATAATGGAAGGAAAGAGCTGATGTTTGTTCGGGTCAAGATGTCTGAAGTGGAGGAGTACAATATGTTAGATGACTTCTATATGAATAATGTCGCTCCTAGCAGCTGCAAAGAGCCCTCAAAAGGTGCTCTGAGCTGTCTCCTATGCTCGCAAGTAAAAAAGGAATCTTGCAGGGACGTGAGAGGTGAATGGAGGCAGAACAGTGAAGAAGCTGAGTTTGAAATCAGCCATAAATATCAGAGTATGCCTGAATTCTTAAGCTTGAAAATTTTCAACTCGTGGTCTTTTTTAACCATGTTCCAGACTAGCCAATGCTCATTGCTCTTCCGCTTCACATTACCATGTTAACGAAGTGATCAATTAATGAGATACCTACCTCCTGACACCTAACAAGCGGAACACTGATCAGGGATCTGTTATGAGGTTCCAGTCTCACAATAGCAATCAATCAGGTAATCAAGCAGAGAGCAGAGATTCAGTTATGAGACCTGAACTTCCCAGCACCAACTAATCAAACAGCTAAGAAACAACTATATGCAAATTACCACAGGAGCAATTCTTAGAAAGACCATTAGCAGACTTTAATGGTAAATGTATCCATCCATATGAGGATGTGAAGCTAGGATACAACAAGTACAACAACACATCAAAGCTTGTCAACTGTTTCATCCTATCTATGTTGCTCAGCCTTAGAAGTGAGGCCAATTAATATAGCCTAATTTTAGAGCTGAATCTAGGCCCTGTTGCATCTTGAAAATTGCTCTCCAGAAGCGACATGTCACTGCAATGTAGAATGATCCTCTAAGACTTTATATGGCTCCCATCTCAAACTAACTTAATCATATAAAGACCTTGAATGGACACAACCTATCTTCATTTTGAGTGTCGTCATTTTAGCCTAATTAGCCTGACAAATCAGATTTTCAGCTGGCCTATCCTACGAGTCCATTTTGATCATTCCTTTATATCCATCTATTTGACCTGATCTTTGCAGCGACTAGTTTTTCTCTGCAATAGTACCCAACCAGATGTATTTTTATTGCTTCTAGAGGTAGCAGGCAAGACAGATCAGTTCTTTGCAAATCAGAGATCAAGTTATTCTCTACTGTGCAGAAAAATAAGGCAATAGAGCGAGCAATACATGAATTAAAAACCAAACAAAGTTCATGCACAGATAATGCATCTCAGAGTTCAAACTCTCAAGCCATACATTTCTGGGTCATGAAGACATAAGTCTGGAAGCACCTTTCTTTCTGGCATTATTGGTCATTGCATATGCATTGTTTCTTTGTAGCTGTTCAATCTTCTTTTCATTGTTGTATTGGAAGTTCTCTCTCTTTTTTCTTTCTTCTGAAGACAGTATATATGTAAGATGCAGTTTTTTTTCCTTCTATATCTCCATTTGACTGTGCACTTTGAGGCTGCATGCTTGTTAATCTGTTCATTGATATCTCATATCCAGTTTATTTTTGAATATGCTAATTTCTCTCCCCCAATTTACTTATCTAATCTTTATATTATATATTTCTTGCAAAGATAGCCGCAAGGAATGTGCTTCCTTCATGGTGAGCCTCCCTGTACCCTTTCGCTATGAATACCTGATGGCAGAGACCATTTTTTCCCAGGTGTGTAGTGCTGCTCCTTCCAATATTATATTTCTTCTCCTGATTTCGTTAGTATCATTTTTCTCTTTTGTTATTGTGTCAAATTCTGATTGATCACTTGTCGTGTTTTGAGGAGAATATATGTGGTAGTGCCATTGAATAATCACTGGTGAATAGAGGTGACTATGGAGGGGGTAAAGTTGGAATAATCTTTTTGCTACTGGCCTACTGCTGTCGGTAAATTAAAATTCAAGCAGCTAATCAATAACTTAATATAAATTCCACTTTATACGACTGGTGGGTTGCAGATTTTTTTCTTTTTGGCCAAAGGAAATGCTAGCAGGTCTGATTTAGTCTATGGCCTGTTGACCAAATACAAGTCCCATATTCCCGCAGTGATACCGTTCATAGGTACAATAGTCCCAAAATGTAGAAATAAATACCATATATTTGCCATATGATATGCATATATTTAACTATTACAGTATATATTTGTAGATTGTATTTAATACAATGGGAAAAGCAATTAATATATTTATGTTCTTGCCAAAAAGTGTTGACTTGTATGATCTCTTTTCTCTATGTTATCATATGTTTTATGTGGATGGATATGTTTGTATTTATTATGCCAAGTATCTAACATGGATGACACTGATGATTTAAGCAGACAGTTGAGCTTTAAATAGGCGGAAGTGTCCTATTAAAATATTCTGCAGGCTGATAATGCCTATGTCAGTTTATATTTTTTAATTTGTTCTTAAATGAAGCTGACACCATTAAGTGCAATGGATAGCCTTAGTATACAGTAGACAAGTCTAGTAAATGAACCAAGTGTGAACAGTTTTCCAAAATAAAATATTATCTTATAGAACCAATTTGAACATCTTAGCTAATGCAAAATAATCCGTTAGTGAAGAAAATTTGATCAAGTTGATTAATCTTTACTGCTGTAGTATTGATTGGTCATCCAAGCTAGTTCATTTATATTTTGGACCAGAAATGCACAATGGTGACTCTGTAAACATATGCTGGGCAAAATAATTTTTTCTACCTTACTGATTAATAACATTTATCTTCTGTTATGTGTTTATTTACATGATTTGCATGAAATACATTTCTTTGATTCTTGTTCTTGTGGATTATCTTGCCTTTTCCATTATCCATTATGGAATACACTGTACAAGAGAATTCTGGTGAATATATTATTAACACTGTTTTTTGCAGCTATTGTTACTACCTCGAGCACCATTTAAGCCATTATACTACACATTGGTCATTATTGATCTTTGCAAGGTAATTTCATGCTTATCGTCTTAAGGAACTGGTTTATTATTATTTTTGTTTGTGTGGTAGTGATTGACTTTAGGTTCAATCCAGATTCAATAATGTATGAAGTTATCAAAGTTTCATGTTTGGTTGTTAATGTACTAATTAGGACTTAGTATAACAGTAGGTGACAATGATGCATCTGTGGCCCAATATTAGTTGATCTCGTGATCCAAGTTATGTGTATAAGTTCTTGAGCACTTCTAGTAGACAATATGGAATGAGTGAGTGCATAACTGTTCCTAGGGTATTTTGTGGGTCATGGAATGGATATAAATTAAATGAGGTAGATGAGATTAATGATGGTGATGTGCGGTGATACATTAAAAGACTGGTTTAAAGAATGATTAAGGAGCGAATTTATAAGAAATTTGAAGTCTGCTCAATGGTTTGGACACTACTACAGGGATCAAATAGTGCATTGGTTAAGTAGGAATGGGCAAGTCCTCTTAATGGAGGACTGCTGATAGACCAAAACAAGCATGGCAGTTACAATCTATATTGTCGATGTTAGTTTAATAGTGTGTTTCTTAAGCTGAATGGAGAAAAAGGATTCATATGGCCAACCCTAAAATTTGGGGGGAAATTCTTATTATTGTAATCATGGATTTCATGGTTATGTGTGCTTGTGTATTATTTTTTACTAGGAACAAACATAAACTTTGTTCTTATAATTGCGTGGCAGACAACCTCAGTGAGTGGGTCATTTTGATCTATACATATCAAATGTGTGGATAGAGAAATCATGTGTTTTAATGAATTGTTGCCCATTAGTCTAGTGGTTGGAAAATAAATGGCTAGTTAATATAGAATATAAGTGATTGTTTAGCTTAGAAAATTTACCAAGTTGCACAAATTTTTATCTACATATGTTTCATGGTATATTGATTATGATGAACACATGAATCAACTATTAGGGTAAGCCACTATGTATTTTTGTAGGTTGTTTTCTTTTTCTTGAAGGGAAGTGTTTTTCTACACTGTATTATGCGTACAGTAGTAACAGTACATGTACACATGCATGTGTACGTGTATATATTGATGAATATATGTACGTGTTTGTCCATGCCATGCATGAGTGATTGGGAAACTTTTGTACCAATTGTCTTTTACAAATTTGATTTAGATTTGAAGCGTACGTGTTGCATATAAACCTGCTACCATTTGTATTATATTGGTGCTTGTTCTGTGGTTACGTGTGCTGAGGTCATCTATAAAGAAGAATGACATGCTAATTTGTTTTAGATGAAATGCACCATGTGTTTCCCTGATAAAATTATGGACTGCCCTTCTATTATTTTTGAAACATGTATTGCACACCCTCTCAGTTTGGTAGTTTTAGAGATTACACTTACACTTCTTAATCTATATTTTATTTCTTGTCATCGATATGTCATTAACATATTACTTCTTTCACCAGTGTAACAAGTGTATCTTTATAACAAAATATCTGCGTTCTAAATGCTACAACTTCTTTATGATTTTAGGCTCTTCCTGGGGCATTTCCTTCTGTGGTAATAGGAGCAGTCCATGCTTTGTTTGACAGAATTGCTGATATGGATATGGAGTGTCGCACAAGGCTTATATTATGGTTTTCTCATCACTTGTATGTTTTCTTGGTTCATATTTGTTGTGTCTCATCTTCAACATTTGCTGTAGGGAACATATCTTTCTTCAGCTTTGCATAAATTCAGAATGTTCTGCAATTTCTCAGATAATAAAGGGTCCAGCTCACCACATCGTTTAAGAAATTTCAGGATTTTAGCCTCTCATCTACAGTAACCATGGTGCCAAATCTATGACTTAACTGGACATGAAGTCTATAGTTCATATCGGGAGTTTCTTAGCCTATGTTGCTTTTCCTTACCAAATATCATCTTTAGTGATGTATTTCCTGCAATGTATGGTCAAATACATGACAATCTTGTTGGCTTTAATAGATGCAGTTCAATAGCCTAAACTATCAATTGCCCCAAGATGCAAGAACCTGTAGAATCTATACTAGTGTGAAAAGAAATAGTTGGAATAAGTTGAATAACCTTCTGGGACTCCCTCTGTGATATTTGACTCTTGTTTGAAATCTAATTAATTGATGTTGAAAAAAGTGTATAATATTGAGTGAACATTTTTGTACACTGGCTGGAATCTTCTAACTTCCTCTGAAGGTTGAATTGTTTTTCATCTTTTTACTGTTGTCATTTCATATATGCATTGAACTGGTACCCTTATCCCCTTCAAATTAAAGGTCTTGGTCTATAAGATTAGCATGTCGAAGGACTGCTAAACTATTAACCAAGTTGATCGCTCTATTTTGCCGAGTTGAAACATCACTTAATATGTAATAGGATGCTTGGAAATACAAATGCAAATATTAGCCATCTCTGATAAGTAATACTCATTCTTCATTTCACGTTTGTCGTTCAAAGTTTTTCTCTAGTTCGAAACGTTAACATCAAGAATATATTACTTCTTTAGCCTTAGCCAGATGAAAACTTAATGAGATACTTCTTATTCGGATAATATCATAATAGCTTGTTTAATTAGGCTGCTGGTTGAACTCTTTTCATGTGAATAGTTTTATATAAACTCTTAAGATAAGTTTTAGTATCAAGAATGGCAGGTTCAATGTATTAAAGGTATCTGAACAGATAATTAGGGGTGGGAACAAACCGAATCGAATCGAATGCCATGATGTTCGAATTCGTTGAATTCAAATTCAATTCAAATGGTAAAGCTATATTCGAATCGAATACACTGGTATTCACTAGCTGTTTGCAAACATCTGTTAACGCAGTTGGTTTGGGGTTAATGTTGATGGGCCTTTGATCTGAGGTTCATATCCTCATAAAAGCAAACCTCGTTCCTTTATTATTTTATTGGAGTTTCTTCAAACCCCTCCACTTTGTATTTATTATAGAAATTGCCATCCAAATCACTATAATTGTTGATTTTGCCCTACAACTTATTTCCTTCTATCAATTTTACCCCTTAATTTAACCAATAAAAAATAGAGCTCATAGTAAATTAACTTTGTGGGACTAAAATGCAAATCATAAAGGAATGTTTAATCAATCGAATCAAATACACATCTGCTTATATCCTATTCGTTTATGAATCGAATGTGAGACTAAAATGCAAAACATAAACGAATGTTTAATAATCAATCGAATCAAATACACATCTGCTTATATTCTATTCGTTTACGAATCAGATGCTAAAATATATTCGTTTATTGTTAAATGAACTATCAAATCGAATATAACCGAATAGTTAGACGAACAATTGACAGACTACTTGTTAATTGTTTGTTCATTTCCACCCTAATTCTATAATAAATACAATGTGGAGGGGATATTGGAAAAAAGTCCAATAAAATAATAAAGGAGAAAGGTTTGCTACTATGAGGATACAAACCTCAAGTCAAATATCTACCATTTGAAAACATCTACTACCAGTGTATTCGATTCAAATATAGCTCTACTATTTGAATCGAATTCGAATTCAACGAAAGTTAGAAATTTGAGTATTTATCTGGTGATGCGCTTTGCAAGGGGTGTAACACTTTTATATTAATATTTAATATTATTATTCTGCACATGAGTTTCTCTTTTCTGGGATTGAGCATAGTCAAGTGATTAGTTCTTCAATAGCCTGAAGAAGCTGTTTGGATCTGAAGACTAACTTCTCAATTAACTTATGCTAATAAAGTGGGACATGAGGTAGACCAACCGTAAACCTGTTACCTTCTTTTTTTGTTATTACATTCTAATGACCTCGACGTTGGCCTTTAACTATTGGATTCTTGGACAATGGTACTAATCTTACCAAACCTTTTATATGATGAATACAAGGAGTATGAGATTTCTTTAGACAACAATTACGGCGAAGGCCTTTTTTTAGGAAATTTGGGAATCTTTTTATTGTTTGATGAAACATACTAGATATGAATATATAACTAATTTTTGGTTTTTGATGGTGTTCCAGATCAAATTTTCAACACGTTTGGCCTTGGGGAGAATGGGCTTATGTTAAAGACCTCCCCATATGGGCCCCTCAACGAGTTTTTGTTCAAGAGGTATTGGAAAGAGAAATCCGGTTATCGTATTGGGATAAAATTAAGCAGGTAATTCTTCTGAAATCTCGACTGTAAAGATCATTATAAGTGAAGATCGCATCCGTGGCACTCAATTTTAACTTAGGAAAGGCAATCCTGCACTAAGTGAAGTGGAACTGTTATGAGATTATAGGCAACTTGATTTTGTATTTGACATGAAAAATTGGAAAAAAAACATCATTTGAGACGACGATTCTGTTATTCTTTCCTGTATCTGATAGCTGGCTAAATGCTTTCTAGAATTCATGTAGCATGCTAAGATGCAGTCATTTCTTTCTAAAAGATAATCAAGTAAAAGTTAGAAAGACAGATTCTCTTATCATATATTATTTTTCCTTGCTGACTTCATTGTTGGTTCAAATGTTGTTAATGATTCAATTCTGAAGGATTGTAGTCCATGCCAAGACAGTATAGAATTCTGAATGTTTAGGCATTGGTAATTTCCATTGCATAGCTTGGAATAGATATATTGGTTCCAGTAACTAAATCTATTAATGTTATACTATCTGCATGTTAGTAATCATATGATCCTCAAATTGCTAAGCATATAATATAGATTTATAAAAGAGCCAGAGAGCATAAGTTAAATAAGAAGTGATATATAGTAAGGATAGAGTATAAGTTTGAAAATACAGAAAGATTGCTGACCATATTTATCAGATATGTGCATATCAATTAATCATTTCGTGCATATGTAAACTTTTGGATATAAAAAATGAAAAGGTTTATGAATAAGTAGGTTTCACTTTTAGCGTATCAGCATTCAGTTTTGACTCAGCCAGCATATTTTGATCCTTTTGAAAAATTTGGAATCTGTTGTATACAAATAAATGGGAGATGTCACATCAGTTGATACTTGATAGGACAAAATCTTGTTTCAACTGATTTACCGTCGAAGGTTTATCCCTCATATTTTTGTGTCTTCAGGGGACAATGATGAGAGTGGAAAACAATTGACAGGATATTGATTAAAGACCAGTTACAACTTGCGAATATTTATCCATTGTATTTAAACTTATAAAGCACTCTGAAAATGTATAACCAATTAGGTAGTTTAAGAATTCACCTCTTTTCTTGCATGCATATACCTGGAGCCACATATTTCGAAGGAAACAAGCAAATGATTGAATAAATGATGAGAAAAAATGATCACAGTAAGTGAAAAAAAGAACAAGGATTGCAAGTAATGATGCCAGTGTTGAAATTGCAATTTAGTAACTAGGGCATATAATTGGTTAAGCTGCAAAAAGTGAGTTTTCTACCCTTCTATTCTTGGAATTTGATTCCTTCAAGAGATCTCTGTAAAATGCTTATTCTTCCTTGCATGCTTTTCCATTCCCTTTATTCTATGCAATGCACCTGTTTGATTTTAGTATTTATGTACATACATAAATATACTTGTATATATAGTATCATGTGAATTTCTGTGTTTGTGTGTGTGTACACATCTATACAAGTTCATGTGTACAGGGAGATGCTCCTATGCTAACCAATTCTCAGAAACGGCTTGTAAGAACTCCATGTGACATCATCGCATGGATGATCTGCATCATTGTTCTTGATGTACATGGCTGAAGTTTTTTTGAGATTAGATTCCTAGTAGTCTGTATATGTGTGTTCATTCACGTGTTGTTGCTACTGGGACCTCATTTGGAATTCTTTTTGAAGCTTTTTATGTACTTTAATTGTCTACAGAGTGTAGAAAATGCCCCAGAACTAGAAGAGTTGCTTCCTCCAAAAGATGGACCAAACTTCAAGTACAGTAGCAATGATGGTGGAGAAAACACAGGGCATGCACTTTCTTCAGAATTTAGCAGTATGGTAAGGGCAAGAAAAAGTGTACAACAACTTATTTCATGGTTAGAAGAAAGTATCATTCCACCACATGGCCACAGATTTGCAATTGAAGTTGTAATCCAGACTCTTTTGGACATTGGTTCGAAGAGTTTCACTCATTTAATTACCGTTCTTGAGAGATATGGTCAAATTATTGCCAAACTTTGTCCTGATCATGATAGTCAAGTTCTTCTGATAGAGGAAGTTAGCTCCTACTGGAAGAGTAGTTCTCAAATGATCGCTACTACGATTGACCGAATGATGGGTTACCGCCTCATATCAAATCTGGCAATTGTCACTTGGGTTTTCTCTCCATCCAATGTTAACTACTTCCATCTTTCAGATAGACCATGGGAGGTATGCCCCTTTTATTTGAGGTCCTTTTGGACCTAGTATCTGAAAGTTGCCTGTTGAGTTTTTTCTAAGTTATATAAAATGGCAATGTTGCTGCATACTGTATGCTTGATATCAATAATTATGTAAAGAATAATCATGACACTATTAAATTTCTGAGAAAAGTTAATTAGTTTTTCCGTCTGATTTTTCTTGTGATTAACCTTTTCTCCTCTCTTTAACTTAATGTTTCTTTCCTGATAATCTGGTTTATTTGTTTGTTTGGCAATGATGAATATCTAATTAATGGAAAAGGTAGATATGTTTTTGGATTGAATTGGTAGAATTAGTTTGGGTCCATGCTTGCTGAAGAATTTAGTAACATGGAAAGATAATACAGAAATTGTTTCACAGTTAGGAAGTAAACTCGACAATGAAAAGTGTAGTTGTCCAGTCTATTTTAGAAGCATTACCTGCTTTTCTTCTTCTTTGTAATTATGCTGCCAATATATTTTATTCAGTTCCACACAAGTTTCCTTTTTTATTTATCTTTATTTATACAGACTATTATTATTGGAAGAATGTATAATGCTTGCTATTTTATAGCTAGCAAAGAGTTGCACTTTAGAGACTTTCCAATTCTACAATTTTTATGCTGAACTTACTAGATGACATTGAAGAAGCTTTTATCATTTTTAATTAGAATGTGCTTTGTTTGAAATTTTTGCTAGAATAAACATAAGGGCATGTTTGGATTTTCCCCTAGTGAAGGGAAATTAATGGAATATAGAATAAGTTAAGTTAGGGGAAGTTAAGGTAATATACAAAACTTGTTTGGGAATTTAGTAAGGAGAACCAAGTATAACTTATTTCTCCTCGTTTGGGTACTTTAATAAAGTGAAGGGAAGTTTAGGGAATGTGTAAATCTGTATAAATAACATTACATGTTATTTCACCCCCTTGGATCTCATCTTGATACAAGGGTAAAGTTGATTTTGAGTAATTTTTTTTTCAAGAGTACCATTTCCCACAGTTACACCCCAATCAGGGTTTGGT